GCCTGTAATCCCAGCTACTCGGGAGGCTGAGGCAGAAGAATTCTCTGAACCTGGGAGGCAGAGGTTGCAGTAAGCCAAGATGGTGCCACTGACTCCAGCCTGGGCAACAGAGTGAGTCTCCGTCTCAAAAAAAGAAAAAAAAAAATAGCTGGATGTGATGGTGCGTTTGTCTGTAGTCCCAGTTTCTTGGCAGACCTATGTAGGAGGAATGCTTGCACCCAGGAGGTTGAGGCTGCAGTGAGCTATGATGGCACCACTGCACTCCAGCCTGGACAACACAGCAAGAGATTTTCTCAAACAAAAATTGTAAAAAGCTAAAAAGTTTAAAATATAAAAAGTTAATGTGTGCATTACAGGAAACAAACAAGAAGAACAAAGTCATTCACAATCACAAGCAGTTTACAGTTTGACATGTTCTTCTGGGTCCTGTGTGTATTTAGACACGACATCCAATTTTATGGGATCGAGATCGTACTTTCCTCTCTTTGACTGCCTTTTAAGAGCTTTTCTTTGTGTTACTGTAAATAAGTAAGGATTTCACTTAGAATTCATTTGGCTTCCTGCCTCTGAGGGCTGGGGCAATTTCTGGAAAAAAAAATTTTTTTTTTGAGACAGAGTCTCACTCTGTTACACAGTTTGGAGTTCAGTGGCACCATCTCAGCTCACTGCAACCTCCACCTGCCGGGTTCAAACAATTCTCCTGCCTCAGCCTCCCAACTAGCTGGGATTACAGGTATGTGCCACCACACCTATTTTTTGTAGAGATGGAGTTTTGCCATGTTGCCCAGGTTGGTTTCAAACTCCTGACCTCAAGTGATCTGCCTGCCTTGGCCTTTGTCTTTAAAAGTGCTGGATTATAGGCATGAGCCATGGCGTTCATAACCATCATTTCTCTGAATTTTTCTCCCATCTCTCTGTCCCCTTTTAGAACTCTGATAGATGTATGTTCTTTCTCTTCCATGTCTCTGAATCCCTTTTTAGTTTGTATTTTTTAATACTGAGTTCCTGCTTCTGTTTCTAAAAAGGTACCCAGGTGCAGCCTTATAATTAGTAATTTTCAGGAAAACTTCCCTTTTAATTCCACTCTAAGCCAGGCACAGGCCCCTACTGTCTACCCTGGGGGACTCATTTTATTCCCCCCAGCTTAACTATTCATTTAAAAAAAAAGGCTGGGCGCTGTGGCTCACGCTTGTAATCCCAGCACTTTGGGAGGCAAGGCGGGCGCATCACCTGAGGTCAGGAGTTCAAAGACCAGCCTGATCAAAATGGAGGAACCCCATCTCTTAAATACAAAATTAGCCAGATGTGGTGCTGCATGCCTGTAATTCCAGCTACTGTGGAAGCTGAGTCAGGGAATCGCTTGAACCAGGAGGCAGAGGTTGCAGAAAGCCAAGATCGCACAATTGCATTCCAGCCTGGGCAACGGGAGTGAAACTCTGTCTCAAAAAAAAGAAAGTTGTTCTGTTGATGGGTCAGTTGAAGCATTTTGCACCTGGAGTCTTTGAGCCCTCCTCTCCCTGTAGGGCTCTGCTACTCAGGAGAGTCTTCAGCAGGGTTGAATCTCTGTGTGACTTTCAGTGTGGCTTTGTTTCCATGATGGCCTGATTTTCCTCCTGCTCTAGTTCCAGAGCCCCTGTTTTATCTCCTTCCATTTTTTCACTGTCTGTGCTTCGAGCTCTCTTTTACATATTCATGGATAAATGTTACAGTTTTCATCTATTCTTCCCTGGCAACAATTTCTGGTAAGTATTCATGTGCCATTTGCTGTTCCTGTAATATCTTTAACTCCTGTGTCAGCTCCCACTAATTTCTTAATGAGGCAAATTAAATTCTCCCTTGATGAGCTCTTGTAAGTCGATCATTGTGAGAGAGGGGCCGGGACTGTATCCCAGGCTGGCAGGAGTCCGTCCATGGGAATGGGTGCTTGGGAGAGTTCCATCCGGCTTTTTTTTTCCACAGGCAACTACAGGGCTGATCACCATGCAGGGCTGCCCCACCCATCATTCTTCTTGTTGCCTGCCAGGTTCAGGAAAGCTCTTACTGCAGTCCACACACTATTTTTTTTTTTTTTTTGAGACGAAGTCTCACTTTGTTGCCCAGGCTGGATCTCAGCTCACTGCAACCTCTGCCTCTGCCTCCCAAGTCCAAGCAGTTCTCCTGCCTCAGCCTCCCAAGTAGCTGGGACTACAAGTGCCTGCCAGCATGCCCTAATTTTTGTATTTTTAGTAGAGACGGGGTTTCACCATGTTAGCCAGGATGGTCTCGATCTCTTGACCTTGTGATCTGCCTGCCTCGCCCTCCCAAAGTACCGGGATTAAAGGCATGAGCCTTTTTTCTTGTTTTTAAGACAGGGTCTTGCTCTGTCACCCAGGCTGGAGGAGTACAGTGGTGCTATCATAGCTCACCGCAGCCTTGAAACCCTGGATTCAAGCAACCCTCCTGCCCCAGCCTCCTGGATAGCTGGGACTACAGGCATCCACCACCACACCCAGCTAATTTTTAATTTTTTTCATAAAAGACAGGGTTTCACTTTGTTGCCCAGGCTGGTCTTGAACTCCTGAGCTCAAGTTATTCTCCTGCCTCAGCCTTCTAAAGTTACTAGGATTATAAGTATGAGACACCATGCCCAAGCCTTTTTTTTTTTTTTTTTTTAATTTCAAATAAGAGATTATTGGGTGTGCTACTTTGTTTGGTTTTTGAGATGGAATCTTACTCTGCCACCCAGGCTGGAGTGCAGTGGCGTGATCTTGGCTCACTGCAACCTCTACCTCCCAGTTCAGGCAATTCTCCCATCTCAGCCTCCCAAATAGCTAAGATTCTAGACACACACCACCACCACCGCTGCCACCCCCCGCCCCCGGCTAATTTTTGTATTTTTAGTAGAGACAGGGTTTCACTGTCTTGGCCAGGCTGGTCTTGAACTCCCGAGCTCAAGTAATCCACCCACCTCAGCCTCCCAAAGTGTTGGGGTTACAGGCATGAGCCACCGTGCTGGGCCATGTTTTAGCTTGTTTGTTTTGTTTGCTTTTTTGTGATTTCTAAGGGGGTTAGGGATGGGTAGCATTGTCCTTATGCCAGTGCTGTATTTCTGTGGGGCGGGGAGACAAGGTCTCACTTTGTCACCCAGGCTGGAGTACAATGGTGTCATCACAGCTCACTGCAGCCTCAGCCTCCCTGGTTCAAATGATCCTCCAATGTAGCTGGGACTACAGGCACATACATGCTACCACGCCTGGCTAATTTTTCTGTTTTCTGTAGAGAAGGGCTTTTCACGTTGCTTAGGCCTCTCAAAGTGCCTGGCTGTGCCAGTAGTTTGTAATTTTTTTTTTTTTTTTTTTTTTGAGACGGAGTTTCGCTCTTGTTACCCAGGCTGGAGTGCAATGGCGCAATCTCGGCTCATCACAACCTCCGCCTCCTGGGTTCAGGCAATTCTCCTGCCTCAGCCTCCTGAGTAGCTGGGATTACAGGCACGCGCCACCATGCCCAGCTAATTTTTTGTAGTTTTTTAGTAGAGACGGGGTTTCACCGTGTTGACCAGGATGGTCTCGATCTCTTGACCTCGTGATCCACCCGCCTCGGCCTCCCAAAGTGCTGGGATTACAGGCTTGAGCCACCGCGCCCGGCCTAGTTTGTAATTTTTTGAGATAGGGTCTCACTGTGACACCAGCTGGAATGCAGTGCCGTGGTCTAAGCTCACTGCAGCCTCTACCTCCCAGGTAGCTGGGACCACAGATGCACACCAGCACGCCCAGCTAATTTTTTGTATTTTTGGTGGAGACCTACCGCCTTCAGAAGTGCTAGGATTACAAGCATGAGCCACCATGCCAGGCTGATGCCAGCACTTTAAAACTGGATGTCGCAATACAAGATCAACCTTGTATTCCTGAGTTAAATACTTCTCAATTAGGATGTTTATTTTTTACAGTTCTTCTGTTAGATCCTATTTGCTTATACTTTAAGACATCTGTGTTTATTCTTGGCATATCCTATCTGCTGTCAGCGTTCCTAAAACAAGCTGCATCATTTTCCATGTTTGTTTATTTTCTGAAATAGAATATGTAAAAAAGGGATTTTTAATTTCTTAAAAATACTTATGAATCTAATCAGATTTTCTATTTCTTTTTTTGAGATGGAATCTCGCTCCGTTGCCCAGGCTGGAGTGCAGTGGTACAGTCTCAGCTCACTGTAACCTCCACCTCCTGGGTTCAAGTGATTCTCCTGCCTCAACTTCCGGAGTAGGGATTACAGGCACCTACCATTATACCCGACTAATTTTTATATTTTGTAGAGATGGGGTTTCATCATGTTGGCTGGTCTTGAACTGACCTCAAGTGATCCGCCTAAGCCTCCCAAAGTGCTGGGATTCCAGGCGTGAGCCACCATGCCAGGCCTCTATTTCTTTTTTTTTTTTTTGGAGACGGAGTTTCGCTCTTGTTACCCAGGCTGGAGTGCAATGGCGCGATCTCGGCTCACCGCAACCTCCGCCTCCTGGGTTCAAGCAATTCTCCTGCCTCAGCCTCCTGAGTAGCTGGGACTACAGGCACGCGCCACCATGCCCAGCTAATTTTTTGTAGTTTTAGTAGAGACGGGGTTTCACCATATTGACCAGGATGGTCTCGATCTCTTGACCTTGTGATCCACCCGCCTCGGCCTCCCAAAGTGCTGGGATTACAGGCTTGAGCCACCGCGCCCGGCCCCAGGCCTCTATTTCTTAAGACCATGGTGGTAATTTATGTTTTTCTGGAAAATGTTTTACATTTATACTCAGTTTTCATATTTTTGCTGTAAAATGTCCTCAGAAAATGGGGTGGGGGTTCGTTTTATCAATATAGTTTGCGTTTTTCTCAATGAGAAGGGATTAATATGTAGATAAAATGAGGACCCCACCATCATGAAATAATGAGTGCTACCCTAAGAAGGTATGGGGGAGACGAAAGACATGATGCCATCCCAACAAACCCTGTGCTAAATCAGTCTGTTTTTTGCCTTCTGTTTCTCAGTCTTAGGAAAAGTCCTCAGTGCTGTGGGAAGTGCCCAGCTACTGATGTCCCAGAAATTCCAGCAGTTCCGGGGCCTCTGTGAGCAAAACTTGGTGAGTGTGATTGTTCTTCCTCCACAGGAGGGCGTCCAACCTGTGGCTGCCCACTACGCCCCAGATAGATTGTGCTTGGGTACCCTCCTCTATAACACAAAACAGTGCAGCTTCCCCATGGTGTTGGAAGGACAATGGCAATGTGTGTCAGTGTCTAGCACAAGAAAGGGGGCGAGGGCAGCCCTATCACATCTCTAATACCTTTCCATGTTGAAACAGCCATGTGGATGTTCAGTCCCCTAGCCTGGTTTATTTATATAAAATATGTTCTGTATCTAAGAAGACACTCAAGGTAAGAACTAAAGAAGTACACTGCTGGGATTGGTGGCTTGGCTTTCTCCCTCCCTCTTACCTGTTAGGAGGGCTGGCCCTGCTGGGGTCAGAAGCAAAGGCCTGGGCCATTCTGTTTGTGGGAATCTGTGCGCTCCCAGCAGGAGACAGTGGAGAGTGTTTGTCTCCAAGACCTACAGAGACCTGGGGGTTGCATTGTCATGGAACAGAGTGATACGAGGGAAACAACACGAATTCTGTGATCTTCCCACCTGGGAGTGAATCAGGCTTCTCTCGGTGTCACTGTCGCACCATGGCCAAGAACTTCTGTTTCTTCCCTGTAAAACAAAAACAAATGTCTGCCTGACCTACATTAGAGACAGGAGTGCTTTCCTCACTACAGCCCTACAGTGACCTCTAATCCTCATGATGAGACTGTCCCCAAGGATCCCCACCACTGGGCTGGTGCTGACCAGAACTGGCTTGATTGATTCATATAGATACTGACCAGGACACTAGACCTCAAGAGCCCCTGAGGGTAGGGTACTGGCAGGGCCAGGGGAACCATGCTTGGGTGGGGCGGGGGTGGGGGCAGGACAAGCCTCTGCCGAGCCGGCCCCACTAATCCCCTTCTGGCCCACAGAACCCTGACGCCAACCCACGCCCCACAGCCCAGGACCTGGCAGGGTTCTGGGACCTGCTACAGCTGTCCATCGAGGACATCAGCATGAAGTTTGATGAACTCTACCACCTCAAGGCCAACAGCTGGCAGCTGGTGGAGACCCCCGAGAAGAGGAAGGTGAGCATGGAGCAGTACGGAGGGGAAGTCCAGGGACAAATTCCTGGTCGGCAATAACGCTGCCCACATCGGTCAGTGCTGCTTGGCTCCCTTCTCCGTGTGTCGTCTTTGAGCTGGGGGCTCACGTCCATCACTGCGTGGGGTCCATGCTTGGCACTTGTCTGGCATGCCGCATGCTCTGTAGTTGAGGCTGCCCCGAAGCATGTGTTCTGCCCTGCATGTCCAGAAAAGGGGATCCTGGGAGAGGCACACCCACAGCCTCTGCACGTTACAACAGAGGAGGCAGTAGAATGCTCCTTTCTCCTGGGGCTCTGCTGCCAGGAGTCCTGGGGTCTAGAGCCAGTTCTGTGACCTTGTGGTAGCCAGCCTCTTCCCTGAGGCTTCCTTCTGCAAACCAGCAGAACCAGTGGCCCCTATTGAACCATGGCCCTTCTGCCTAATCCCCTAGAATAGCCTGGGAAGTGTGACCTGGGAGTCGAAGCCCTAAATTGAAGTCTGACTGTGTGACTTGGGCTAGCTCCTGCCTGAGTCTCAGGCTCCCAGCAGTTCAATGCGAGGGTGGACAGGGGGATCTGTCCGTCCCTTCCTGCTTGAGTGCCCTTGGAGTCTGAGCTTGCTTTCTGCTCCTCTGCCTTGTGCTCTTCCCACTGTCATCGCTTCTCGTGGCTTCCTGATTCCAAGTGTGTGTTGCTTGTGCCCGATGCGGGGAGGCTGGGGCGGAGACTCGCTGCCGGCATATGGTGGGGGTAGCACCACACAAAACGTGGCACCTTTATTTTATTTTTGTACCCTCCTCACTGTTTCACTAAAGGAAGAGAAGAAACCACCCCCTCCAGTCCCAAAGAAGCCAGCCAAATCCAAGCCGGCAGTGAGCCGTGACAAGGCCTCAGACGCCAGCGACAAGCAGCGCCAGGAGGCCCGCAAGAGACTCCTGGCGGCCAAGCGGGCAGCTTCTGTTCGGCAGAACTCAGCCACTGAGAGTGCAGACAGCATCGAGATTTATGTCCCGGAGGCCCAGACCAGGCTCTGAGACCATGCAGGAGGAAGGAAACGATTTTAAATCATTAAAAACACACACAAAAAAACTAAGTGCGAATGGAACAGTTTTCTCAGCCTTTGCTATGGTTATTCTGTCTAGAGACCCTGAGCCAACTTTCAAATTGACGCATATAAGGGCTCACGATTTGGCTTTTTTGGGTCCCTCCCAGCTTTAGGTTATGAAGATTTTACTCACAAAAAAAAATCAACAAAAGTCACGAAACTAGAAAACTTTTTTCCTCTTGCTGGCCGTGGTGGACTAGATAGATGGACGTCGGCACCTCCCGGCCCAGCCTCCGGACTGTGGTCTTTTTATTCGTTCTATCTGATGAGAACTCACACTAGCTTGTTTACAAGATGACGAGAGTCCAGGGGCAGCCTTGGACACCTGCCATGTCCCTCCTTCTTTCCCTGGCTACCCCAGCTCTGACCTTGGATTTTTCATTCTTACGTTTTCTCTTTTCCCTTCAGAGCTCACACAGCAGTCGCCATTGTGGCAAGCGGCTTTCTGGGTCTCACCCCTCCCTGTGGTTGAGGGCCCAGAGGATAGAGAGATGGACATGCATCCCCTCCCTCCCCCACCAAGTGCTCACACACAACTTCACGCACGCGCGCACATACACACACACACACACACACGCAGATGGAGGCATCTCACGGGGAGGTACCCCGCCAGCCCGAAGCAGTGTCAGGCAGGACTCGCTGCTGAGCAGATGAGGGAGGTTTTAGTCTTGGAGGGGAAATGAGACGAAGCCACAGTTATCACACCCCAGACTCCTGCCTTTTTATTCTCTCCAGCCCCTTCTTCCTTCAGCAAAATCTAGGACTCTGAGTGGCTTCCAGGGGGCTGTCTGTCCTCAGCCGCGCCTGTGTCCAGTGCCCGAGGGGCGGGCGGCGGTGTCTGTATGTATGTGTACATATGCACATAGACCTTAGAGTGTATATTTAACAAACGCCCATCTGCTCACCCATGCCCACCAGCGCCGCCGCCGCTGGCTCTCGGGGCACCTGGCAGGAGGCGGGTGTGTGAATAGCATATATTTTTACATGTACTATATCTAGGTGTGTGTACAAGTGTATGTAAAAATATATACCTTGTGTGTAAGCAGCCCTCTTTTTTTGGGGGGGGGTCTCCATCCTCCCTCCCCTAAGGAGGGGGATGCCCAGCCTCTAGTTTTCTGTTCTGTTGTTTTTTTTTTTTAAACCCCAATTATCCTTCTCTCTCTCCTGCCCTCCATCCCCACTCCAAGGGTGTCAGGAGCCCTGAGCTGCAGTGGCCCAGGCCTGCAGGGCGGGGTGGGGGAGGGCAGGGGCCCAGCCCCACAGCCAGCTCAGTACCCAAGGGGCTGCTCGACGCTGTGTATGCGCCTCTCTGGCATCAGAGACATCCTCTTGGCTGGCGCTTGCTGCAGCGGGGACTCCCCAGGTGAACCAAGGGCCTGCTCCGGGGCCCCATTCCAGCTTGGCCGCCGTCTGTGACCTTGGGCAAGTCACTTGACCTCTGTGTGCCTCAACTTCCTCCTCTGTAAAACGGGGACAGTCCCTCCTCCCTACCTCACAGGCATGTTGTGAGAATAAATGAGGTAACGTGTACCAAGGGCTCGTGGCATTATTGCAGGGGGATGAGCAGGATGGGCCCAGGAAACTGAGCCAGACCCCTCACAAGAGGCAGCTCTGTGGAGACAGCCTGATGGGAGTGCTGGCCGGGATGTCAGCTGTCACACGCCAGCTCTTTGATCTGAGGCAGGCAGACGGAGCTGACCATCCCCTCTCCCAAAAATGAGTGTGCAAACTCACCAGCTTCCTGTTTGAAATAAAACTTTGGAAGATAGATGTTATCACAGGAGCCAGGATAGGCCGATAAAGACCACCCTAGAGGACATCCCCCACAGATCCAGTCTGCACATTCTCCAGGGCAGAGTACCTATCTCCCCCTGCCTGGCAGCTATTTCCACCCTGTCAGCTGCAAGCCCTGACTCGCATCTCCAGGGCACCTCCTCTATAGGCCCAGTGCCGGGGCCGGCCCCGGGGCCAAGCTCACTCTGGTGAGGGAGACAGATACTGAACGGGGCAGATAAAGTCAAGTCAACAGGTGGTGGAAATCAAGATGCAGCAGAATGAGGCTGCAGGACCCCAAGTGGGACAGCCAAACCCAGCCTGGGCAGGAGTGTGTTATGGTAGAGACTGGAGGGATGAGTAGGTAACCAGCTTTGGGGGAAGAGAGCAGCATGCATTCCAGGCGCAACAAACAGGAGGTGCCAAGCCCTCATGGTAGAAACATTTTTTTTTCCAAGACACAGTCTTGCTTTGTCACCCAGGCTGGAGTGCAGCGAAACAATCTTGGCTTACTGCAACCTCCGCCTACCAGGCTCAAGCAATTCTCCTGTCTCGGCCTCCCGAGTAGCTGGGATGACGTGCCTGCCACCACACCCGGTTAATTCTGTATTTTTAGTAGAGACAGGATTTCACCATGTTGGCCAGGCTGGTCTTGAACTCCTGACCTCAGGTGATCCGCCCACCTCGGCCTCCCAAAGTGCTGGGATTACACACATGAGCCACCATGCCCAGACAGAACATGCCTTTTAGGAAGTTCTCCGGCTAGGCTCTGGAGCCACAGATTCCTGGTCTCCTCCCTTGGCCTAACCCAGCCAAGAAGCTCATGACCTCAGGCCCAGGGGATGCATGGACCCTACCTTCCCAGCAGCTTTGTTCAGGCTGCTCAGCCCTCCCCAGCAAGGTCCCAGGAGCCCATCCCAACTGTGTGGCCAGACTCCTATGCTTGGAGCAGCCCTTGTCCCTGGATCCCAATACACCTGTGACCACAGGTGGCTCGGATTAACTCCCAGGGCTGGTACCTTCCCAGACCTACGCCTACCCTGAGACCCAGCTGGGGGTGATCTGAAGGGTAAGTGAGGAAGTTTCTGATTGCATCAGGCATTACAGCAGGTGTTCAGAGGTGCGACAGTGCAGGGTGGGAGGCCATCGTGCAGCTAGCAGCCTGCTCCCCTGGATAGGCCATGGAGACTGGGGATAGACCCTTAGCCTTTCAGAGCCTGCTTCTGCTGTAGCAGGGGAAGGACCTTGAGTGTTGGATTAGGGTCTCAGGAGGGATCCTGCACTCTTATCAAGCACAAGATAGGGTAGGGGTGTCTGATGTGCAGAATCTGGACCCCCACGCTCAGCCCTCCTGGCACAACAGTAGAGAAGACACCCCCTCTGTTGAAGGAACAATATAATAAGACATCCAGTGGCCAGAGTCACCGATGACCAACATTTCGCCATCTGTGCATTCTCAGATACACACACATTGGTTTTCCCCAAGAGCCATGTGAGAGTCAATGGTATACACGGTGATGTTTCACCCCAAAACACATCATGCAACTCCTGCACAACCACAAAACCATCACCACCCTCAAACTTAAGGAAGGAATGTTCCAAGGAGCACCTCCTTTGCCCAGGAGGGCACTCGCTGCACATGTTAATACGACCTGAAGCACAGCCCACACGCCAGGTGCCCCCACAACCATGTCCCTCATGGCTTTTCCCTTTCATCCCTCCAGGGTCCCATTAAGGATCAGTCATTGCTTTCAGTTACCATGTGTGTCTTTTTTCTTTTTTTTTTTTTCAGACAGGGTCTCACTCTGCTGCCCAGGCTGAAGTGCAATGGTGGGATCATGGCTCACTATACCTCAACCAAATGGGCTCAATCAGTCCTCCTGCCTCAGCCTCCCAAGTAGCTGGGACCACAGTCACATGCCACCATGCTCAGCTAATTTTAATTTTTTTTTGTAGAGACGGAGTCTCACTTTGTTGCCCAGGCTGGTCTCAAACTCCTGGGCTCAAGTGATCCTCCTGTTTCTCAGTCTCCCAAAGTGCTGGGATCACAAGTGTGTGAGCCACCGCTCCAGGCCACCATGTCCTTCTAGTCTCTTTAAAAGTCAAAATTTCCCTACTTTTTTTGTTTTGCCAGAAGTTGATTTTTTTTTTTTTTTTTTTTTTGGTTTTTGTTTGTTTTGAGATGGAGTCACTGCAATGCCCAGGCTGGAGTGCAGTGGTGCCATCTTGGTTCACCACAACCTCCGCCTCCCCAGTTCAAGCAATTCTGCTGCCCCAGCCTCCCGAGTAGCTGGGACTACAGGTGTGGGCCACCATGCCCAGCTAATTTTTGTATTTTTAGTAGAGACAGGGTTTCACCATATTGGCCAGGCCGCTCTCGAACTCCTGACCTCAAGTGATCCACCTGCCTCAGCCTCCCAAAGTGCTGGGATTACAGGCATGAGCCGTGTCCGGGTGGGATGTTGATGTTTTTAAAGTATCCAAGCACTTTATAGAGTGGGACACCATTTGGTTTATGTTTTCTCATGGCCAGATTCAGATTAAAGGGTTTTCACAAGAATATGACTAGATGATGTCCCATGTCCTTGTACCTTTTTCCATCAGGGAGGCATTTGTTACTTCAGGGAAAGGCTGACAGCAGCTTCCCAGAGAAGCTGGGAAGAAGTCCTTGGCATCTGTGTTTCCAAAGCCTAGTCTTTGAGGAAACAGAGGGGACCAGGACAGAGAGCGGAAGTGCCCTCCTAAAGGCTGCAGGATGACCACAGAGGTGGCACAGGGGACAGGAGACTGTCAGCCACCCATGGGTCCCTCCCTGAGAACCCTACACAGCCCAGATTTCCCTTCTATAACCCCAAGCTCCCCAGGGTTTCACATTTTCACAGTCTTCGCACAGAGAAGGCTCAGCTAGCACTAGGAATAGCACTTGGTAGTAGCTGACCTTACAGACAGGACAGCAGGACAAAGCCACTACCACCAGGAGCCTGAGGGCCAAGGACCATGCGGAAGCCTCTGTGGGCAAATGCTGTGGAGAAAAGACCCGCTGAGATGAGGTTTCTACCACCAACAGTGGAATGGGCTGTATGACAGAAATTCTAAATCAAGTCTCCTGCCCGTCTGAATCTGTGGCCAATCTGAAAGCTGGCGTGGTCTCTGCTGCTGGCCCTGCCCCTACCATATGGTAGCCAGGGGGCTTTTCAAAATGCTGACTGGGCTGCATCACACTCTGCTTAACCCTTAAACCCAGCCTCCTCACCTTGGCCTTAGAGGCCGCCGCCCACCTCTCCAGCCACACTTCCAGTGAGAGCTGCCCTCAGCAACCTCAGAGCCTCCCACAGGGTGCCCCAGCCCTCCACCGATGAGCTGACATCAGCTCTTGCCTCCACTCTCAGGACAGATGGCCTTTCCTCAGGGAAACCCACAAAGCACCCTGGCCAGGCCAGGTTAGTGCTCTACACTTGGAGCACAAGAGTCGCTTTCCTTTGCTGTTGTCACAGATGTGATGATGCTTTAATATCTGTGTGATTATTTGTGAGTATCCGTCTCTATGCAGAAGATGATGGGCTCCCAAGGGTGGGAAGAGTGTTTTTTTTTTCACCAGGTCTCAGTTCCTGGCACAGAGTAGAGCCTCAAGAATGATTTCCTAAATGAAGGACCTTGGCGGAAAAGGCAGTATTTGACCTGGGCTTTCAGGGATGAGCAGGAGTTATCCGTGCTATGGCAGTGAAAGGCGCAGTGAGCACGGTGGCACAGGTGTAAGTGCTGCTACTCCAGGTGGGACCAGGGCCAGACTCGCCTTGAATGACAGGTTAACAAATAAGGCTTTCAGACCGGACACGGTGGCTCATGCCTATAATCCCAGCACTTTGGGAGACTGAGGTGGGCGAATCACTTGAGGCTTGGAGTTCAAGACCGGCCAAAATGGCAAAACCCCATCTCTACTAAAAAAAAAAAAAAAAAAAAAAAAAAGACCGGGCGCGGTGGCTCACGCCTGTAATCCCAGCACTTTGGGAGGCCGAGGCGGGTGGATCACGAGGTCAAGAGATCGAGACCATCCTGGTCAACACGGTGAAACCCCGTCTCTGCTAAAAATACAAAAAATTAGATGGGCATGGTGGCGCGTGCCTGTAATCCCAGCTACTCAGGAGGCTGAGGCAGGAGAATTGCCTGAACCCAGGAGGCGGAGGTTGCGGTGAGCCGAGATCGTGCCATTGCACTCCAGCCTGGGTAACAAGAGCGAAACTCCATCTCAAAAAAAAAAAAAAAAAAAAAAATTAGCCAGGTGTGGTGGTGCATACCTGTAATCCCAGCTACTCAGGAGGCTAAGGCACAAGAAGCGCTTGAGCCTGGGAGGAGGAGGTTGCAGTGAGCCAAGATCGCACCACTGCACTCCAGCCTGGGAAACAGAGCAAGGCTCAGTATTAAAAAGGAAAGGTAAGGCTTTTGGGGCCAGCTTGAAATGGAGCCAGGACATTTCTTACCACAGAACCCCACTTCCCATAAAACAGGAGCCTCCAGTATCAGCTTCCATAGACCCATGGTACTCTCTGGACCCAATGAACCTACACTTTGTCTCCAAAATGTGTCACCCCAGCTCAGGCCCTGTGAAGCCCTGTGGCCAACACAGAACATGGGTCTTCGGGGCCCCTCTGCCACCTTTATGGCTTTAAGTTTCTGTAAACTGACAACTTCCGCATGTAAGTCTCCAGCCTGTGTTTCTCCCTGAACTCCACCCTTCCCACTCAACATCTCCACTTGAA